TTGGCACCAAAAAGGTTAACCATCACTGGAATATATCCCAATGTGGATATGCAAAAAAGAAGTTGGAATAGTAACAGACATTATCTTCTAAGCTCAAAAATGCACAAGAATGTTGTCTATAGCCATGAAATAAAGAGAACCTCTGCTGCTTGGGTGAAAGACTTTGACAGATCGAGACCAAATAATAAACGAGAAGAAATTTCACACTGAGAGTAAACGAGTCTGTGGTTTTCCCACTCATAACATAGGCCTATGAAAGCGGAACCATCAAAAAAGATGAAGAAATATTATGAGCCTTTGAGTTGGATGGCTGGAGAAAATTGGTTGAGAATTTCTTGGACTACAAGAAAAAATAGATGAAGTAAACCCAGACTTCTCACTGGAAGCACTAATAATGAAACTGAAGTTTATTTGGGACTTACGATGAGAAGGAATGAGTCACTGGAGAGAGACACTGATGCTTGGGAAATTCAAAGGCTACAAAAAAGGCAATGGAAGATAAGGAAACTAGATAACTAATAGCAACAGCACTTAGGCTTATATACCACTTCACAGTGCTTTACAGCCCTCTTTAAACTGTTTACAGAGTCAACATATTGCCCCCAACTATCTGGGTCCTCATGATACAAATGATACAAATATGAGTTCTCAAGCATTCAGAAAAGAGACTGTTGTTGATAGCCAGTACTGGCAAGATAATGCCATGAAGAGTCAAAGCAACTGAATGACTGAACAATAAGAGAGCAACAGGAGTGAAATATTTCCTGTTCCTCTTTTCTCCCAAGTAGCAAAGACATGCTTTAAAAATGCCTGTATATTGTAATCTGATTTGGTTACAACATGAAGAGGCTTTTTTAAAAAAAATCTGTTTAAGATGCTGAGTATTATTAATGCCGTTAAACTAGCCGAGAAATTTGCTTCCATTGTAACTTGTCTTTTCTAAATTTTCATAGTGATTTGCTACTTTGCATCTAGTTTTTATTTATGTTTTTTTCCTAAGGTGACTTGAAGGGTACAAGAAGGCCAGTTTACCTATTTTTTTTTGTTCATTGTGATTAATTGAGCCATTTAGAAGTTGTTTGAAATTTAGATTGCATTGTTTATCATTTACAGTTATGTGGCTTAAGGTAATGATTCTATTACTTTAACGGGCAAATAATACCTCATGTCATCCAGAATTTTTGTTGTTGTTTTTGTTGTTAACTTGATATCACATTACAAACTTCTGACCGATAAATCAAAGGCAAGATAAATGTGTAGAGCTTAAATAGAAATGAGAGCTCTTAAAGTGACATATGGGTATATTAGCTCTGTTGTAAGTAGTAAGCAAAATAAATGTAATTCAGAAGTAATGTGCCATCTGTTATGGTTGGGATACTTACAAACTGCATTTGTTTCAGCTGCTGATCTTTTTTCTTGTAAGAAAAGAGAATGCAACCCATTGTGCCAGAATTTCAGTACTTGCCAATTCCTTTTCAGTTCATGGGATAAAAACTATTTTGCCCATAATCCATCAGATATTTATTGAAGCTGTATAGTTTTTTTTTTTTAGGAAGGGGGGTCTTTTTAAATCTAATATTATGTTCTTTCTCTTTGTCCTCAAGTTTCAACAGAATGCAGAAACCAGTTAGGTGTGAGATTAAAGTGTGGAGATGGTTATTACTGTTAACTTTATCACCGAAATACTTGTATTGGATTTAAAATTTTATGGCTGTGGAAAGCTGGAAGAGCAATTTTTCCTTTGAGGTTTCTTGAAGCTTCTGACAAATGTTTGCATTAGTCTTTTGTATTTCTTTCTTGTAGATCAAGTAATATCCTGCTGTTACCTCATTAGTGGGCAGCTTAGCATTTACCTGCGTGATTCTCCAGTGTGGAGTCTCAGAAAAATAGATATAATCTTAGAAGGAGTTAAAACTGCTTTATAGAAAATCAGTATATATTAAATATTGCAAAGGTTTATCTCTGAAGCTGGAGGAAGAAAGCTAAGAGAAAGAATTTAGGAAGAATAGTGGGATTTTTATATGTCATATGCCATGCATATATGGATATAATGCTTCATGCTGGTCTTGTGCTAATACCCTAACATTTATATAGTATTGAATGTGAGGCAGTATTAAAAGGTCAAGCTGTGGAAGAAAAAGTATTTCTGGATTCTGGGCCATTCTTTGAAAAAACAGGTCTTGTTTTCAGAGGCCATTTTGTTTTCTAGACAGAAAACCAAAGGCCACAAGAATTATCATTTCCTGGAAGAACAATCTTCACTTCTCTCTTCCTTCTTCCACCTTCTTCATTCTTTTTTGGAAGAGAAGTAAATGTCTTGAACACAGTGGTGGGCTGCTGCCGGTCTGGACCGGTTCTAGCGAACTGGTAGTTCCAACCATCAGCTGGCCCCACCCACCCACGCCTGCCCTATCCTGTCCTATATTTCCTTCTTTCTGTCTCAGCTGATCTGTGCGACACAACCGATTTCCATGCCTCTGCTGTTCTACTGACCGGGGCTGCCTTAGAAGATAAGCACCTGAGCTTCAAATTGCTGTATTTTGAATGCTGTGCGCAAGTGTGTTAGGCGCACACGCAAAGTGCATGTGCGTGCAAAGTGTGCGCTCACAGAACCAGTTATTAAACTGGTTGCAGCCCACCACTGTTTGAACAAATCAAAATGCTGTAGAAACTGCAAAAAGCAAAATATACCAAAAACTCAGCATTATCTACTGTTATATTTTCTCCATACTTCCTTGTGTGGTATGTAGTTGTAATGTATGGAAAGAGCCAATGTGGTCTAGTGGTTAAGATGCAGAACTATGAGTAGGGACATCCAGGTTCAAATTCACCTTAGTCATGAACTTTATTGAGCATCTTTGCCACTTGCTTTCTGTCAGGACAACCCAACTCACAGAGTTACTGTTGTATGAAAAATTACAGGAAGCAATGCCATGTATAGGAAACTATATGCACATTTCTTTCTCTATTGGCAGCATCAAATAGAAATATTCTGATCCAAGAATATAAATGTACATCATTGAGTCCTGCACAAAAGAATTTACCATGCTTCTTTTTTCAATTATATACTCACTTACTGTCTCTCACATACAGATCCTATGAAAATTAACAATTTATTCAAGGTTGAGGTAACAGCAGACAAGGAATTCATAACAAAACAGGGCCTCTGAAAGAAGCTTGAGTGATTTTCCTTTAACAGGAATGTGCAGAAGAATAGTCAAATCCAGTCCAGAATTCTGAGGCCCTGGTCGTGATTGTCAGTCAATCCAGAGGTCAGAATTTCATGAGTCCATCCAAACAACACTCAAGAGCCGGAAATTGGTTAGTTGATTCCAACAAGGGACTATAGGTCAGAGATGCCTCTTAAATCAGGCTGTACCAGCTGCTTTTAATCAAGATAATTACTCCCTTGCTTGGTAAGGAATCTCATAGAACATCTTTGCTCTACTCTTTGCTCTCACTGTGTGTGGGGGCTGGGAGGCCTTACATCATCATCGTCATCATCATCTGACTGTTCCATCTATTCAGGTAATGCCTATATTGTATCAGCCTCAAATGATTCTTGGTTTAGTATCTCCTGAAGCTGACATTCTGCAAGTTCTGCTGACCTTACTATGACTATCCCAGCACTTCTACTAATGGGATTCTAACTGACCTGACTGCAGATATTAACACCATCAATAATACCATTTATAGCATCAATACACTGCCTCCCTTCACATCAAAGGAAAGGCAGCAGCCTGGTTCCTGTTATCTGTCTCCTCTCTTTCTCTCTCTCTCCAAGATCCTCAGGTGGCTTTGGTTCGCCTGCTTCTTTGCATTTCTGTGTCTCCTCATGTTTATGCCATGCATAAGCCATCATGTTTGACAACATTCCAAAAAGAAATTAAGAGAAAAGTTACCAAGTTGCTGTTGATTTGTATACAGCTAATAATTAATCACTACAGAGCTAACCAAGAATAGATGGCATCAATGATGTCCTCATTGTTGAAGAAATTGGTGTTGATACACTTAGCAAATTGGAATGACCTTTTGTTTATTGGATTCCTTTCATTTTTCAAAATTAATTTCAGAAGCTTCTGGACCTATGTCACTATTAATTCCTCCAAACAAACAACATTATAGAATAATATTTCTTAGATTTGCTGTACATGTAGCAAAAGATGTATACTGACATGTTACAAAGTGAAAGAATGGATAATTTGAAAAAAAAAACAATGGTAGAACCTTTCTTCCAAGATTATCCAAGCAAAATAATTACATTGGATTACAAACAGACTACAAGTGTTGATTCTTTGTTTCACATGCTATGTACCCGGAGGGTTTTATCTTTCAAAGAACTTTTCTGAATGAACAATGACCATAGGTATCTTCAGGCACTCCCAATCAACAGTATTTAAGGGGAGGGGGGGATAAAAACAGGAAGATAGCATATGTAACATCATTATCCAAACCCCACTCCTTTTATATAGATGTTGACATCACATATATACAAAAGAGATGAGACTTAAATTGTGCCACCACATCTATTGTCCTTGACATCCCCACATATACAAGTGCCCAAAAACAACAATATTAGAACAGTCAAACGTGCATTGTAATGTTACAATGCAAGTACCACAATAGCACTTAGACTTATATACCGCTTTACAGTGCTTTACAGCCTTCTCTAAGTAGATTACAGAGTCAGCATATTGCCCCCAACAGTCTGGGTCTTCATTTTATCAACCTCAGAAGGATGGAAGGCTGAGTCAACCTTGAGCTGGTGAGAATCGAATTGCCAAAATGCTCGCAGCCAGCAGTCAGCAGAAGTAGCCTGCAGTACTGCATTCTAACCACTGTGCCACCACGGCTCTAATGATGTTAATTATATCCATTGTCTGAATTGCCTTAGGGTATGCATTGAATGATGTCCAAGCCAAAATTTTGTCCATTGTAGCTGAAGTCTGCTAAATGTGATTTGGTAAAATCAAAGTTTTATTGTATTACCTTTGCGACAGGATATTCGATGGTCTGACTTTGGATTTCCTGGAAGAAATGGAAAGGAGAGCACTCTGTGGATTGGCTCCACCGGAGCAAACACACCTTGTCATTTGGATTCCTATGGTTGCAACTTGGTGTTGCAGGTGCAAGGCAGGTAAGAAGGTATAGACAATTACTCTCTTTACCCCTCTGAGAGCTTTTTCATGGTGCAAAATGCCTAGGCTCATTATTAAGAAAGAGAAATATTTTTAAATGAGAAAATTGGTATCAGTGTTAATTAAATTATTACATTAATGTCCGTATAAAAATCTTACTACTTCTGAGACAAGTAGTTACAGTATGCTTATTTGTAGGTGCAATTCCTTATTTTCTCTCTCTTTCTCTCTCTCTCATCCAAATATATAGTATGTATTCCTTTTCTGAAAAACAACTTATTCTTTAAAAATGTACTGATGCTGGGAATAATGCTACTGCATTTTTCTATTGTTCCCGTCTGATTAGGTCACACTGAATCCATTCATAGGGGTTTCATGCATTAAAAGTTAACATAGGCTATGCAGATAGGCTACCAGCCAATGACAAGCAGAGTTGAGCATTTAAAAGTGGGGCACAATAGGAATAGCATTTAGCTGTGTATACAGTATCACCCATAGCACTTTACGGCACTCTCTGGGTGGTTTATAATTATTATTTTTTTTATTTGATTTATATGCCGCCCTTCTCCAGAGACTCAGGGCGGCTTACAATGCGTTAAGCAATAGCCTTCATACTTTTGTATATTTATACAAAGTCAGCTTATTGCCCCCACAATCTGGGTCCTCATTTTACCTACCTTAGAAAGGATGGAAGGCTGAGTCAACCTTGAGCCTGGGGAGATTTGAATTTGCAGTAATTGCAGGCAGCTGAATGTTAATAACAGTGCTTTAGTCTGCTGCGCTACATTGTAATACTTCTACAATGTAGGAGCATTATTTGCAGATTGCCCCCAAACAATCTGAGTTCTCATTATACAATCTAACAAACTTTCTTTTTTCATTGTGATCGTTCCTTTTCCTTGGCTTCCCTTTTTCTCAGGGGTTACACAACCTCAGGCTCCAGTTTGCCTCAGAAGCCCACCAAATGTTGCTGCTGGCTTGTCATTTATAAACCGAGAAAGAGAAACATATTAAACGCATGGATAGCTATCCTATTTAAGCATTTATTTTAAATTATATTCAGTTTTAGTCCCAATCATGCCACTTTTTTGGGGGGGGGACACTGTTGCCCCCAGCAGAATTGTGAAGATTGATATGGATATTGGCAATATGTAGCGCTGAATAATTCAGATAATTTCCGTTGACCAACAGGAACATGGAAGCTTGTATCCTTGTATTATTTTATTTTTAGGGCAGATATTCTAATTTTAGGTTATTCAGATTTCCCTTCTTCTGAGCATTTTCCACTTTGATTTTTTTTAAAGGGGTGACCAGAAATGTAATGCAGCATTCCATAGTAATATTAGAAATTACATTTCAAACAGTTTGGAAATTGCCTTTTTCTTTATTGAGGTGCACACAGATTTTCTTTCAACTGAAATTTCTACTAAGATTTTTTTCTTAGTTCATTGCCAATTGAGACTCTACCAGTGATCTGTGAAGCTGAGATTTCTTTCAAAGTGCACAACTTTACTTTTAATGTGTTGAATGTTGTTTGCCTTTTAACTGCCCATTCCACAAAACCTTTTGGCTTTAATAAATATTTGGGAACATCCCTCCCTTGTGTCTTCTCTTATAAATTTGCTCTGTGTTATGATTTATACAACTCGTTTATGTGCTTGTTTTGCTCTGGCTCGCAAGCTGAAAATGCAGCATTATGGCATACATACCCACAAACCATTTAGAAAGCTTGTGTTTTGCCACATTAAAATGTGGGCAGAAGGTTTGTGAGTTTGAATGCAGTGAATACACAATGAGGAGAAAGCTGAAAGGATTTATTGAGCAAAGTAAACCAAAAGAGTAACTTTAATTGCGAAATATAATATAGAGAGGAAATATTTACAGACAAGGCAATGTTGAATAGAGGACTATAAATATAGGAGAGATTCTTACAGCCCTTTTACTTCCACGCTTCATCCTTGTCAGAGGACATTCCATAACTAACACATAGCAACACTCTGAGACTCAGGCCCGTGCTTAAGCTAACCTATGGGTGGGTTTTTCAGTTTACACAGTATGAGACTCTACTTGTTCATACTTTAATTTAGCACATGTATTGTTTCTTCTTCTTGGGTAGCAGTTATTGAACACTTGTGTGAAAGCACTTGTGTGCTTAGGTTGTCTGCAGATAGTTGGCCTTGGAGTTGAAAGAAAGTGAGTACTTTTGACCTAGACTACATAAGAGAACAGTTAATCACGGGGAGTAACTGGAGGGATGCGAAGCAGTGGTGGGATTCATCCAGTTATATCCGGTTCGGGTGAACCAGTAGCTGCGGCTGTGGGAGGCTCCGCCCATCTACCTGGATGTCATCATGTCCTATTTGTGTTGCTCTGTGCATGCGCACAAGGTCCTATGTATGCACGGAGGTGGCGCGAGCAAGCGCTCTCTCTCACATTTGTGAACTGATAGCGAAGGTAAAGTGAATACCACCCCTGATGCAAAGGCTTGTTTTGAGAAATCTAAGCTATTCTATGCATATAGAATACCAAAATACCAAAGCAAAGTGTTTTTATACTGGAAAGCACAGAGAAGGACTACATCGCAAACTTCCTTGTCTATATAATCCTTTTCTGCTATAGCCCTTCAGCTTGAAGATAGGATTGTAACCAGTACCCCAAGGTCTCCAAAAACCATTAGGATGTTTTACTTAAATAGGCATACCTCCTCGGCTGAAGCCTCACTGGATGTAAAGAAACTTGTTTTCAGCTAAATATGTAGCGGAATGTAGGAAGTTGATCTTTACAAGGTTAGATGGTCTCTTGAGCCTAGTTCTGATAAGTGATATTCTTCAAGGTCTATCAGACAGAACCATTTTACAGTTTTGCAATCTGAAGCTTTTAACTAAAGGTAGAGGATAGTAAATGCAAAAACATGTGGACTCTGCAGTCTATAGGATCCTGCTATCCCAGCAGTGGTGGGTTGCTACCAATTCTACCTGGATCAGCGAACCGGTAGTGGCGGCGGTGGGAAGCTCCGCCCACTCACGCCAGACGCTTCTGTGCATGAGCAGAAGCATCGCGTGTGTGTGCGAGCGCACAAGCAAACTGGTAGCAACGGGTTTTGCAACCCACTTCTGTATCCCAGCATGTCGATATCTTTCGGACCAAAGAGAAACAGCACGTGCTTGATCATCAGAATAGAAGCAAAGCTTCTCTTCTTTTCAAATAGCCCATAATATTCGAGGAATGGGGCTAGGCGTCTTAGTCATTTACAGGAAATACCTGATCTGACAATTACAATTTTGGACACCTTGTCTCTTTTAGCTGAAATATGGTGGCTGTTTCCTGTAGCAGAATCCTCGGAGAAAAATGGATAGATCTTTTGTCCCATTTCAAATTACAGGAAATGCAAACGATTATACAAAATACTTTGTAATGTGTTAAAGATATTCGAACTGGGATTGATACATAATAGAAAAATAATAAGACTTAACTATTTATGTGGCATAAATTGCAGAATAAGTAACAATACGCAGAGAATGCTACCAGTTTGAAGACTAGTATTCTATTCTATGCAAAGCTGATTTATCAGAATAAAAACTCAATAACAACTGACTGAAATTTGTTGTATTGTTTTTCTTTGTAATATTATCCAAGCACATCCAGTCCAAATTTATAACCTAACTGAAACACTTTAGTCTTTACAATATGTCATAACTGTTGCAGACTTCCTCACTTTAGAGTCCTCTAGAAATGTTGGATTTAAGTCACCACAATCATTTGTCATGCTATGGGGAGTGTCTAGACAACCCATCTAGAGAGGACAGGTTAGAAAAAAATGATTTACAGTACTTATAGCTATATGCACCTTTTCTGGATTTGGGCTCAAATTTTAACCAAAAAGGCAGTTCACTTCATGCTAAGTGATAGTGTATTTAGCTTCTTGTAGCATGCTATGTGAACACACCTATTGTGATTTTTGTCATAAAGCATGAATATTGTAATGGAACGTGTGGATGACCTTGGAGATAGAGAGGAAGAGATGCTCTCTAGAAAACAATCAGACAAGAGAGGGAATTGCCCCTGAGGCACAGTGACTAAAGTGCAGTATAGCAGGCAAACTCTGCCCACAGCCTAGGGTTTGATTCTGATAGGGCTCAAAGTTGACTCAGCTTTCCATCCTTCTGAGGTCAATCAAATGAGGATTGCTGGGGGCAATATGCAAATAATTCTACATTGTAAGCCAACCAGAGAGTGCTGTTAAAGCTCTATGGGGCAGTATATAAGCCTAAATGCCTTTGGTATTGATTAGCCGCAGTGGTGCAGTGGTTAGAGTGCAGTACTGCAGGCTACTTCTGCTGATCACCGGCTGCCAGCAATTTGGCAGGTCAAATCTCACCAGACTCAAGGTTGACTCAGCCTTCCATCCTTCCGAGGTTGGTAAAATGAGGACCCAGATTGTTGGGGGCAAGATGCTGACTCTGTAAATTGTTTAGAGAGGGCTGTAAAGCACTGTGAAGCAGTATATAAGTGCTATTGCTACTGCTATTAAGGGTCAGAGAAAGAAACTTAGGAAGGATCCGATCCAATGGATCAATTAAAAGTGATGTTTGGAGGTTGGTACTTGCAAGATTCTGTTAATGTAGCTTTACAATACAGTAGAATTAACTCATCTAAATGTGTTTCCTGTCTGATTTTCCTGGGAGGGTTAACAGATAAGCAATCTGGTTTATGATGTGTAAATTTAGGCAGAAATTACCTATTTGCACTTGTACCGTATAGAACTTCAAGATGCAAGTTTCCATTATCTTTTTCCAGGAAAAGGTGGCATCTGTACCCACCTGAAGACTCCAGACTACTGTATCCTACCAGAATTCCCTATGAAGAATCTAGTGTATTCAGCAAAGTCAATGTGCTTAATCCAAATCTGAGGCAATATCCGCTGTTCAAAAAAGCACGAGCCCACGTGGTTACACTTAATCCTGGCCAGGTATTTTCTCTGCCGTTGCTGCTTCTTTCATTAAATATGAAATTGAATGAATGAACTGAATGTTAATGAGCTGGAACATCTAATTTAATTTATTTGTTTGTTACATTTTTATACATCGAGACTCAATTTGGTGTAGCACCAGGCTAGACACCAGGAGACAGCAAGTTTTAGTCCTGCCCTAGGCATGAAAGTAGCTAAGTGACTTTGGGCCATTTTCTCACTCTCAGCCCAATTTTCCTCACAGAGTTATTGTTATGGGGAAAATAGGAGGAGGAAGCAGTATTAGTTGTGTTTGCTATTGTCAGTTATTTATTTATTTAAAAAAGTGTGTGTATGTGTGGGTTACAGTTACAGTTGTTATAGTGATGGGGTGAAGTGGGGGCTAATCAAATAGAATAGAATAGAATAGAATTCTTTATTGGCCAAGTGTGATTGGACACACAAGAAATTTGTCTTGGTGGATACCCTCTCAGTGTACATAAAAGAAAAAATACATTCGTCAAGAATCATAAGGTACAACACTTAATGATAGTCATAGGGAAACAGTCAATATAAACCTTAAGGATACCAGCAACAAGGTTACAGTCATACAGTCATAAGTGGGAGGAGATGGGTAATATGAACGATGAGAAGATTAATAATAATGCAGATTTAGTAACTAGTTTGACAGTGTTGAGGGAATTATTTGTTTAGCAGAGTGATGGCGTTCGGGGAAAAAATATGACCAGTTTATATCATTTCATCTCTTCCAAGTGAAAATTGTACTTCATGAAAGAAATGAATGAAGATCTGGGGTATATTTCTTGGTATGCAAGCAACTTTGAAAGTTCTTAGGTTTCTGAGGATGGAGTAGAAGCTACCACTGTTTTGAGAGTAGTAATTTGCTCAGTTTGGACTTCAGAAATGGTTATGCGGAACCAGCCAAAATCTTTTACATTTTCATCATGATGGATAATTCCATAATGGAAACACTTGCCCAGCAGCTATCTCACTTCTATTTACAGAATGCATTAGCATTCCAATGGAAGCTTTCAAAGTAGTTTTAACAAAGTCATGTGAAAGTTGATTAATCATACTTTACCGGACGAGAGGACTACAATAAATGAGCAGCGGCCCTGTGAAGGATTTTTCTATTTGCCAGAATTTGAGGGTCTCAGCCCCATCAGCATGATGCCTTCCAAATTAATTACTCACTCCATTGTTCTAAGAATAGCTTTCATTACATAATGAGCTACTTTTCTTAGATTTAGGTTGTAGCCCTTTAGTCTCTGATGTCACTCAGTCCCTGGAAGGTGTCCTTTAGGGCAATATGACCTTCACACCAAAGAAAGTTCTTATCCCTGCTATATGTACCCACCCCTATTCACTTTTGGTATTTTCTTGGATGTACTCCAGCGTAGTCATGTATAGAATTGCATTGATGTCCTTCCAAACACTTGTCATTGCATTATATTACATTCTGTATGGCATGAAAAATGGCTATGATATGCAAAACATTCCACATTAAACCATTTCAAATTTGCAAGCACCCCATTTTTCAGCTTGAAATCCTTTCTTTTGAATGTGAAACAGCTATGTCAATTGCAAAACAGGTTGTTTTGTATATTCTTCTAGTGTGTTAAACTTGAAACAGCTTTTGAAGCACAGTTGTTCCAAATTCAGAATACTTCCAAAACACTTCTAATGGCCTGTCTTAAACTCACAACTATTACTTCACACTCAAAACAGAGTGTTTAGAATTTGAAGCAGTATAGATTTGAAATGTTTTGCATACGTCAATAAATATCTTACTGATGCCAAAACCAGAATAAACTGACTTCTGATTGTTCTCTTTTGTTCTTCACATTTTATTTTGTTGCTTTTTCTTATGTTTCTGTTCTTTCTTAATGATAGCAAGATATTGACTTGCATTATGATTGAAAATTCAATGCAGACTGTCTATTTCAATGATTGCAAATGGTAATTGAAGCTGGAGTATCTCAATTTTTAATTAAACTTTAATTAAAAGTCAAATGTTGTTCAGAACAGAAGACTTGTAGCAGGGCTCCCAAAATTCTATGACACAGAGGAAAAGCTGAAGACCAAAGAATGCTAAAATTCTCTAAGGATTGTCATTTCAGAAATACACAATTGAATACAATTCAACATGCAAAAAGATTAAGCCAGGACTGTCTAGTGTTGAAAGAGACCAAGATGATAAAATCTTCTAGTAGTAAAGGAAGTCATTCTTTTAGTAGTACTATTGAAAAGAAATCTAAAATATTATGTCTGCAAATACAGTTACTTGAAAGTTTCCTATCAACATTACATTACTTGGTAATCTTACACTATTCTCTATTCTTGTTTGGCTATGAACTGTAATGAGATGGACTAAAATATCACAACAATGCGGGACTGGAAAACTGAAATAAAGGTGTGTTTTGAGATTTAGCATAGCAATAGTTGGGCATTAGATGTGATTATTAAAAGAAACTTAATGTGCCTAATGCCATCTTCTGGCCACTGTGTCTCATTTCACTACTTATCCGGATCTTGGCAGCACTGAGGAATCTTGGTTTCTGTATATATATTTTAATGCAACCTTAGCCTTATTTTTGGATGATCTGAAGCCAGTATAAAACAGTTCCATCCATTTTAGAAGATTCATCTAGTCAGTTATGAAAGCTAAACGGGGTAAAACTATGAGGTGGCTTCTTAAATCCTGCCCCGTATTTCAATCTTTGACATGATCTTTAAAGCATCTGTGTGATTCTCACTGACAGCCAAGTTCTAGTAGGCTTCTTTCTACATCACTCTTGCACCTGCAGATGATAATTTGAGCCAGTGGGTTTATAATTGCTTTCTCAAAATGACAGGAGAGCAATTTGAAAGCTGCCTTTGTGAGCCTCTGAGAGGGGTTGGTGTGTGTGAGTGTGGTTAGTAAATTAGCCTCAGCTAGCTACCTGAGTGACTCCAAAAAGAGTATTGAGGAAAAATCCAGGCCCCCAGAAGCAGCAGCAAGAGATATAGACAGCTACCAGCAGAGTGGCCTCATTTTCACACATGCAGAACTCTTCTTTTTCCATTTGTGGAGCACAAATGTAATGTGTAGATCAAAAGCTGTCATCGGATATGGAGAAGTGACTTGATAGGGCATTAAAGGGGACTGTAATCTCCATCTTGTTCATGCTAAGATTACATTCGCAGCTCGGAGGTGACTTTTTCACCTCAAAAAAAAAAAAAAAAAAGGAATCACACCCACTCTCTGAATAAACATGGAAAAGCTGTGGACAGATTTTATATGGTGTAACAACTTACTTCTCCAGTGAGAAAGCATGAGAAGAGATACGAGTTTGAGCAACCGGTTTATGGGGGATTGTGGGAGCTGAATTCAGGACTTGAAGGGACTTGAACTTGGTTGACTTAAACAGTTTTTGTTATGTGCAATTGCATAATTGTCGGTTCAGTGGCTATAATATTTATTCAGCGACTATACTGTCTTTTTTAAGCTTCAGGGGTACATTGTAATATCCAATACACTATTCTGTTCTTCTCCTTTCCTATTTTCTACTTACAGGTTTGATCACAATAGCCAAACTAAGAGAAGCTAATTCAGGTGGTAATATCATAATCCTAAAAAGAGCCTTTGCAGTCATACACACATGCACGCATATACCCAAACTCTTCTCCCATGTCAAATCGTAGATCTATATCATAAATAAATACATGGAGGAGAGAAAGAATAAAAAGGCTACATAAATATACATTTCTTTCCCCAATTAGGGAAATGTGGGTATGTAGATTTTCCTAAGCCAGAGTATGGTTGGTTGAATCTGACTTATTGTGTTGTTTGAACCAAAGCTTTGTGGTTTGTACACCATGGCTTATGGCTTAGTAAGATGGGTGAATCCAGTCAATTGTGAATTGGATCCTCGATTCCTCCAGAAACACCTTATCTGAGGTGGGAACCCAGAGGTTCTTCTTAGCCACAATTCCCTTATTCTATGTCTATGGCAACTTCCCAACCGCCAGGTTAGGATAACTCCCTCCTTTCTAACTATGTTTGTATGTTTATTTTATCTGCCCAACTCTAATGGGAAATTTAATGAAGCGGAGACTTTCTTTTCTGTAGTTTTTGAAGCAGAAAGGGCAACATAATTGAGAACTACTATCTTTTAGCATCTGCTTTTTTAAAAAAAACACACGATTAGTTTGGCTTTTTCTAGTCTTAGTTTAGATATTATTTTAAACGCATTGTTTTACTGTGTTTATTCCTGTAAACTATCTGGAATTATAGATGAAGTATCATTGGAATGCACATAATCAATCTTTAAAATATGTCTTACTTAATAACAGAAGCTTAATGTGATCTGTGAGAAAGGCCAGTTCGTCCCTTCAAATACCATTTTCCGGGAAAGATAAACAGACAAGAGATCGTATTTTCATTCCTAGCTTATGACCATAGTGTGAGACAGGATGGCAGAATAAATAGACTATTGTTCTGATACAGTGTGACTCTTCTGATGTTTTGAACTGATCTGATCTGTGCTCCCCAGACCAGAGTATAGATTGGAATTTGGCAGGCCAAGTGGACTCTGCGTTTCTGCTGAGGTTTCAGTCTACTTCTTGTCTGAATATCTAAATGAATCAAAATACATTTAGGTGCCCTGGTGATTATTAGCTACCAAATTTGCATTCCATTCCTCCAGCGATGTTCTCTATGTCACCTTTGATGACTTTATATTCCTTCCCAACATAAGTTCTGATATTATACTTCTATGTACCCTGTTTCCCCCAAAATAAGACATCCCCTGATAATAAGTCCAATCGGGCTTTTGAGTGCATGGTACATTTTATGGTCTCTTAGCTTTTAATTTATGATACTTCACTTGCTTTCACAATTCTTAAACAATTCAGCATGAAACTGTATAAAGGTAGTCCTTGACTTACAACCCATCACTTAACCGAAGTTATGGCAGACACCTCCCCCCCCCCAAAAAAAAGCTTACAACCCATCCTTGAATTTACAACTGCCACTCCCCCTGGTCACATGGTCACATTTTAAGCACTTGGCAATCAGCTTGCACTTATGACTGGTTGCAGTCATAGTTGCACTCATAGTTAAATGATTATGATTCGCTAACTTTTTTTGCCAGTTTCTAGCAAAAAGCACCCATTTGGAAAATGGATTTGTGATTCACTTAACAACCATGTGATTTGCTTAACCAATGGTAATTCATTTTACAATTGTCATAAAAATGGTCATAAACTCAAATCCAGTCACTTGGTGCCTCAACTTACGATTGCAGTGACTTAATGACTGAAATTCTAGGTTGCACTGTGGTCATAAATCAAGGGTTAACTGTAGGAACAGCCGTTACTTGGCATTTTGCTAGATTCAAAAATATATTATTTTTACTATTTATTGACTTTTGCAAACAGTTCTTGCTCAGCCAGTCTTCCAGCTGATTAGCAGATGTTTTTGGAAGATATTCAGTATATCTCATTTGGTTATTTCCCAAAGTATGCAGTGTACAAACTACTTACATTATGAAATAAGAAATTAGAAGATTCAATTGGCATTGGTAGTTGAATTCCCGAGCAATTACACCCTAGTCTGCAGCATTTTGTTGAAGTTCCCAGATGTCTTTTCTAATGTTTCTCCTACTGTTTTAAAACAAATTATTTACAGGAATGTTTTTTACTTATCTTGGAAGATGAACATCTGTTTCTAAATAATTGATGGCATCCTTATCATAAACTAAGAGTATATTTATGTCACTCTCATGTGACCACCCTATACATTATGGGTGATGTGTGGGTAAATGAATGTTTAGACAGGATTCATGATAAAATATAGGATAATTGCATTGAAAGGGACTCTAGATAAATAAGCTTTCCCCAATGTGATATCCTCTTTTCATAGTGGAATAGTGCATAATAGTGCATGCCAGATTTCTAAGTAAATATATATTTCAATAGTTACATTGGCTGGATGTAACAGACGCCTGGCATATCATTGATGACATTTTCTGCAAAATCTTTGTGGATTTTCATGTCTAACTATTTGGGTGAATGTCTAACTGTCTTGTATGTGTCTTCTTCAGAAGTATTTGTAGAGGAGAAAGAAAATGTAGTTTTGGGATCCATGCACTCTTTGCAGCTTGAAGTGACAGCTCTATTAGAAAAATTCTTGAAAGATTATTTGGCTAAATTTTGTCTCTACCTTTCAAAATCCAGTGAATTAAAAGAAAATTCTCCTGCTTATATATGAACAAGTTCAGGCTTAAATCCCTGTTGGAGATAACCTCCCATCCCAAATGTTCTTATCAATGCTGCCCCAATAGTAAATACTTCTTGAACAAGACAAAGAAAGGTTTTTATTTTGGCTGGAGATAGGGCGGTTTTAAAAATAGCAAGAGCAAGTGAAACACTGAGACGTTGAAATACCTTTCTTTGCCTGATACCCTATTCAGCAGTAAGGCTGATGATAGAGTGCTTCTTGCTTCAATTTCAAAAACTTCCCAAATTCAGAATTACCAAGTTGCTTTCAGAGCCTGAAGTTCCACAATTCTGAGCACGGTTTGCTAGAAGAAAAGTTTGGAAGAGGGCTTACCGACCTCATGCCTTGTTTACAGACTTCCCATTGGGGGCTAGACGGTCAGTGTAGAAGAAAAGTGTCCCTGCTTCCCATTGAAGACTGATATCAAATTTCTTATGCCCAACTTATTTCTAGGATGTGTTTAAATCTGTCTATTTTTTACAAAAATCGATGGCTTGTAACAATGGTCTTCTATTAAGCCAGCAACTATAAGCAATCATCAAAACATGCGAACGTAATAGAGCCCATCTGACCCAATTTTATTATTATTGTATTGTAGCACTTATTGAATGAACACAGTGGTTGTTAAGTGACCAATTAATTGCTATTGGTTTTGCCAAAAACTGGAAGTGCCAGTTTTTGGCAAAACCATTGTAAAAGTCATGTGATCGTGGGATGCTGCAAATGGCATAAACTGGCCACATTATCAAGTACCCAAAGTTCGGTCAGATGAATATGGAGGGATCCCAACTGTTCCAACTTTGGATCTGGATCATAAATCCCCCTTTTCAGGTAGTCATAACCTTGAATGGTCTCTAAGCAACCGGTCGTAAGTGGAGGACTTCCTGTCATTTATAGTGATAGTCTCTGAACTCTCAGCTTATACTTCCCAGTCCTATTGATTTGCTCATTGTAATTTTGACAGATTGTTCTACAATTTCATTTCTTTAATTGTTTCACAGTTGTTTGATTTCATGATTGCTGATTAAACTCTGTGATTTTAATAGGGCATATTTTATTTCTTTTACTTTTTATAAGGTACCGGATTATTCATTTGACTGGAAGAGTGGGTTAGAGGTACTGCAGAATATAATATCCATAAAAGTCATAATGCCTTAGATGTATCAAGTGCAAAGGGAGATCAATGATAAAAGATTTATACTAGTATTAAAAGTATTATTTTCAACCATTTCTGCATCCCCAGTGTAATGCTCTTATGCAACATACATGTTTGTAAGAAAAGAATTTACAACTTTTCAATTCTCATTTCTTTTTGTTTCAGGTCTTGTTGGTTCCTAAACACTGGTGGCATTATGTTGAGTCCATTGACCCCATCACCGTTAGCATTAATTCTTGGATTGAACTGGTACATTTTTTTTTCTCTCCGTTTCTCAAAATGATTGTAAGATTTGAATCATTTGAATGATTTTAATCATTTTATCTGTTAAAATTGCCAGCTGCAAACCATATGGAATATAACAACCTGCATATTCACAAATAATCCACTGATAGCGTACATTTTATTGGGTTAATTTATAACAAAGATTGATAATAAAAAAGATGTTTTATTGGCAACTTTCCCACAATTTCATGCTAGAGATTTTCTCCATAATGATCTTGGCAATTAAATAAGGAGCTCTTAATATGGAAAGCATGTGTGCTACTATCAAGCTACACTCTCGGCCATGACATCTGTCTACCTTATTGTCAATTAGTATTATGCATATGTAGGTACAATAATTGCAGAGCAGTTATTAGAATAACTTTCTTCCATCTCCCTCCCATTCCTTTTGGTTTCCCTAGCATTGAATCATTGAGGCCCACAAGAGGCCCATCCGTTTATAATCTGTAACATACCACATACATAAATTATGCGACATAATTCAACATCTTGATTGCATAAATTTTAAATCAAAGTGATGTAGGTAGAAATGAGATCTGAAAGGATGATTTGTAGCAGACATAGATACGGTCTCTTCATCCAACTGACATCAAATATGTGGAGAGGAGAGTGGAAAGAGGCATCATTGAAGCTTGATGGGATTAGAAATCCATTCCAGGCTCTGTTTTCTTGTGTAGTTAAAAATCTATACAAATGTATTTCAACAAGTTTGACAGATCTCAGAGCAGTTCTTTTTTTAGCACAGAGCCAATAAATCTACATCCTTTGATCAGGAGACAGATCCTTTGCAGAGGATATGGAGGAGGAAATTTGAAACACCGGTATTAGATAAAGAGGGTGCCTTTATATTTTGTTGAGAAAGTAGATTAGTATGATCTCCTAGTTGTAGATTGGGGCTGAGTTGATATGCTAAGAAATACTGGGTATAATAGGGTGGGAAGGTGATGGTTCTCCAGTGGTGACTAATGATCTCCTAGCAGTTTCAGCCTGCCTGAGCAGTAGGGAGGGATGGTAGGAATTGTGGTATACCAATAATTAGATGGCCAGAACTCCCGCCCACCCACCCGTACAGGATGCCTAATGCATTATCTCCCCACACCTCTCAATATAGCCCATATACTTAAGAGTAAAAATGTAAGCAGGTTCAATACATTCCAATTTTGCTTGCCGTAACCGCTCTTTCCAAATTAAAAACCTCACAAACAATATTAATTGAGCATGGAGATTGCTTAACTTGAGGAATGCTAGGACTACCCTTTATGGTGACAGCTGATTATATCCTATTATCGCCAGAGATAATAGCATGATGGCAACATTCCTTTCTAGATGTAGGGTTATCCATCTTGGAAAAACAATGCATGACATAGATGTTAAAAAGTAATATCAAGAACATTTCCATTATTCACTCAAGCAGTACTCTGGCTTACGGCAATAAGCAGCTGCTATCATATTGATATGATAAGTGAGTGCCATGCCAGTTTCAACCGCTCTACTGATACAATTAATTATTCTGCTCATGCTTTACAATAAGAGGAGCAGGGTTTAGTTTGCTTCTGACACATTGAGACCATGCCAAAGTTTGCATTCTAAGATAAGTGATGAATATTATTCATGGGCTTCATCAGGCAGAATGAACTTTTCAGAGTTGCAGTACCCTGAACGCCTGACAATTTTCATATGGCTAAGATAAGCTGCTCTAAATATGCATTATTTCAGATGCTAAAAGGTGAGGCTAAATGTTTCAGGCTTAGGAAGCTGTGTTGTGATAAAGATACTATATTAAACGCCTGCAAGAGAAAGTTATCCCTGAATGGTACCAATTTTTGTGGAATGTCCATTTACTCTGAATTTACAGCTCTATACCGTAATTCTATATATTCCTGGCTGTATGACTTACCTTGTGGTCATGAGAAAAACGAGCAGTAAGAAGTAAGTATTTATTCAGCAGCAATAACATTTGAAATAAAATTGTTAATACGTAATGCAATTCTAAATTCTACAAGGGTTTCTTCTGAATCTCCAGAGCTAGGATTATCCAATTTATTAATGAAAAGACTTAAAAGAAAAGCATTGCATCCAACCTCTAATATTGCACTATAGTTCACTTTTTTTTGTGCCTATGAGTCATTGTTGACTCTTATTGACTGGCTGGTCAAATGCTTATAGTTTTCTTGGCAAGATTTCAAAAGAAATTTGGAGAGAGAGAGAGAGAGAGAAGGGGGGAGAGAGAGAGAGAGAGAAAAGAAAAAGAAAGAAAGAAAGAAAGAAAAAGAAAGAAAGAAAGAAAGAAAGAAAGAAAGAAAGAAAGAAAGAAAGAAAGAAAGAAAGAAAGAAAGAGAAAGAAAGAAAGAAAGAAAGAAAGAGAAAGACAGACTTGGTCTCCTGGTTTCTAGCCTTAACCATTACAACAAACTGGCTTTTTGTAGTGCATTATATTGCACTAATATAGGGGAGGTTTGTGCTACTTTAACTTGAGCTACTATCCAGGGATGAGAGGGATTGATATATGATCTGCATAGACTACATTGCCCATACAGATCACTTCTGTGTTTACAATGTGTTTGTAGTAGGAAACAAGGTACAAGTACTTCTCTTGAATGTTTCAAGCAATCCTATCCCATGATATAAAGCACAACCTCAGATGTAGGATGCTAAAGTCTGGTTGGAACTTAACCAGAATTTGGCTTACCAGAAAGCTCTGTTAATTTGCAAATTATAACTTTGCATTCTTTCAGGCAAATATGAGTTATCTGATATAAATGTGACACGGCATTATCAGAAACACAAATGGCCAATTAAGTTGCACAATGATGGCAATAAATGATAGGAGGAAAGGCAGAGAAAATAGGAAGAGAGAAAGGAGGATTTTTATTATTGTTATTTTTTTTTTTTGAAGAGTTTCTGTGGGAAAGTTGCAAGCTACTGATCAAGAGCAAAGGTTGCATCTTGCTATCTCTTTATACATCCCTGTTTTCATATGTAAATTCAAGCAAACAAGCCCCACTTCTTCATTCTGCCTCCAGGATTGTGGGCCACCAGTACCATTTAATGCAGTGATTTTGTCCCTTGTTGCCCCGGGAACTGTCCCTAGCTCCAAGCAATTCCGCTAAACATGAAGGCTTTGCTTTCCAAGGCAGCTCATCTTGATGAAATCCTAAATTAGTCTTTGTATTTCACCACCTAAAGCCACCCAAGAAAGACATGACACCTTGTAGCATGTAAGAATCAATTACGGAATTCTTGTTTCATCTTTAAAACATTGCGTGCTGGTATCCTTCATTAAAGCCAATGCTGTCTTTTTCACCCTTCTGTTGCTGTGTAAGACTGCAATAATATATTAGTGGGCTGGTGATATTGTCAGATGACAGCAGGCTCTGTGGAATTTAAAATAATTTAGTAATAGCTTGCAAGACATTTGTGTTCTCCTAGTAATTTGTGTGTGAAGCAGAGAGTATGTATGTGTTTAAGAGCTTAAATCCTTGAGAGATAGAGTTTGGGACATGCCTTTTTGATCTTCCTAAATTAAGATTCTATATATTAGATGATATCCCTCTGGTATAAATTAAGGTTCATAAGTCTCAATTTAACAAGACACTAACGCAATAGAACAACTCCCAATTAGGAAAAATTATATAATTGTTTGATCAGGCAGCTTTTATGGGCATTTTATGAAATTATGAAATCCCAGATAAAATAACAGGGGATGTTAATTACCTTGTCTGCCTATTTGGGAAATCACAGGTCCTTTTAACATGAGTGCTGTGATTTCTATAATATAAGAAAATATTCTGGAGCTTCTAGAACTGCTAGATAAATTTTCATTCTTCAGAATATTAGAGATCCTTCATAATATGATTATAAAATGAAGCATACCTCCTCTCCACCTCCATACCCTACCAACCTTGGCCCCCTTTAGATGTGTGGACTTCAGCTCCCAGAATTCTTCAACCAACAAGACTGGGGAATTCTGGGTGTTGAAGTCTACACATCTTAAAGGGGCCAAGGTTGAGAAACTGGTTTGGACCAATGCCAAAGGAATAGTCACAGCTTCAAAATACATTGGACTCAGCATATTTCATTTTCATTTCATTTTCATTTTATTTGATTTCTATACCGCCCTACTCCCAAAGGACTCAGGGCGGTGCACAGCCAAACAATAAAATACATACATACAAAATTTAAAAGTAGAATTAAAATCAAATTAAATAGTTTTGGCCCAGACAAATTAAAACCCCAATCAATTTAAAACCAATTTTAAAATTTGAATATATAAAATACTAAAAGATATTAAAAATTAAAAATCTTTTATAAAGAGGGAGAAAATTAAGCCAGGCCTGCCTGGTGAAATAATAAGGTCTTTAGAGCGCGGCGGAAGGTGCACAGATCCGGGATCCTCCGTATCTCTGGGGGAAGCTCGTTCCAGATAGTAGGTGCCCCCACAGAGAAGGCTCTCCCCCTGGGGGCCGCCATATCTAAATGTTCCTTCTCTTGCTAACCAAAGTCCTTTCCATATATTCAAAATATTTTCCTTTCTTTTTTTCATAGGATACAGATCATGGAGCCCGCATAGAAGAGGCAATAACTCGAACAATGATATGTGCAATCAAATCTGCAGAAAACCCCAGTGACACAGATTCTTGGCTCAACCCCACAGAGGTTTTCCTCTTTAATTTTATCCTCTAAAGTTTTTGTGATTTTTGCCTGAATGATATCATTGTAAGGTTGGCGATCCCTGCCTCAGTTGTATGCAACAATGATTATTACAATCCAGAGTGACTAAGCATGAATATCTATGGCTGTTCCATTTGATCTTAGATTTGGTACTAAGCCAGAAATGTGATATTGGTGCAGACTGAGAACCATATCCTTCTCTGAGATACGGATTTGCTATTATCTCTTTTTGTACATGATACTCAACCAGTGGATTTAGTAATCTGGGCAACAGTAAATGTTCTGGAGTTATTAGATTTTTTGGGGGGTAATGTAATAAATATTGATACATTGCATGATTTTAGTTCAGCAATGTTTCTATAACCCAATTTAAAAATTATTAACATTCTGCTTTTTAGAAAGCTTAAAGTATTGAAAATAAAAACAGTAAACATTTATCAATATTAATTGCCACTTAGGATGTCACAGTTACAAACATAACTCTGTTATGTTTAACTTTTAAACTGTTATTATGTAACGTTTCATCCAAAATTATATAGAAGAACCACTGCAATTCACAAGAAAATATTAGTTATTTGATAATAAGATTCAACCATTAGCTCCTCTTCCAATGGGAAATGTAGTTTTTATGTTTGGAGATACACTTTAATAAGTTCATATATTATTATGATGGTGCAGGATTTTGTGGGAAAGGAGCACTTGGCCAGGGAGAGCTTCGAACCACACACCATTCCCTTCTTATGGACAACTCCATAAGAAAATCAAACATGAACATGGAGTTGGTGTTTAGCTATCTCCCTCTTTTCCTTCATTGGTGTGGTTTGCTGTGGGTATGTATTTCCTTGGGTGCTGCTGTCATCACATCTCAGTTAATGGGGATGGAAATACTTTTGGGAAGTGCCCAACATATTCTTTAGTGCTCCCCCAGCTGCCTGTAATAGTTGAGTAAAAGGATTTATGCCTCAACCATAGCTTTTAGCTCTTCCTTTTAGGAGGAAGAATAATGTACAATAACTCACTTTCACTTCCTGAGTTTTAAATGGGAAAGGGGCTCCAGAGTTATGTAGTGCCTTCAGGAGTCTGCCTAAAAGCATAGGAATTTCTGGAAGTCTTTGACTACTACATTTCAGTTGGTTCCAAGTGCTTTTGCATGCTGGTTATTTTCTGTGTTGTTTAATTTGGGGGTCTATGAAGATCAATTTTTTAAACTGCTTTGTTTTCTGAACCACTTTGAGTTCATAATTTTAAAAAAGTGGAGATATTAGTGTTATATAATATATAATTCCTCATGTGCCCAATCACACTATAAAGAATTCTATTGTATTCTGTGCTGTGCTGTTGTATTCTATTCTATTCTATTCTATTCTATTCTATTCTATTCTATTCTATTCTATTCTATTCTATTCTATTCTTCAAAATAAAGGTGTATGTTCAGCTGAACTCAGCTGGCAGATTGGATTCTCATGACTCCAGATATGCTTGATGGAAAAAAGTTCACCTCATGACATGAGATGTAGCACAAAATATTTTAAATGAAAGTAATACTGTGTGAATTTAAATATAGTACTTCTTGTAGGACAAGAGACAGATTTAGAGAGCATCCAGTCATATATTTTCAGAAATAGAGGTCAACCATTTTTTTTTTTTTGTTCCATTGTTTTTGAGTCTAGCACTGAGAATTTATTTCAGGCTGCTTGAGACTTGCTCTAAAAGCTATCTTTAAAAGTTTAATGAAAAAACTTTAAAATTAACTTTTAAGACCTTATGGTCTTAACATCTAGCCCCATGATGGCGAACCTATGGCACATGTGCCACAGGTGGCACGTGGAGCCATATCTGTGGGCACATGAGCGTTGTCCTAGCTCAGCTCCAGCACGCATGCATGTGCTGGCCAGCTGATTTTCGGGCCTTCTGGGCCCACTGGACATTGACAAACGGGCTGTTTTCGGCCTCCAGGGGAGTGGGGAAGGCCGTTTTCGCCCTTCCCAGGCTCCGAGAAAGCCTCTGGAGCCTGGGGAGGGTGAAAAACAGGCCTTTTGGTCCCACTGGAAGTCGGGAAACGGACCGTTTCTGGCTTCTGAAGGGCCTTCAGGGGCTGGGGAAGGCCATTTTTGCCCTCCCCAGACTCCAAGGAAGCCTAATGGGCCCACCATGCCATCACGTGCCAAAAGTGGGAGAGCGCAGGGGAGTCGTGCCCACATGCATGAGGGGCAGGGTACAATGAATTATGGGTGTGGGCATGTGCACGCACAACCCTCCCGCACGACCCCCGCTTTTGGCATGGTACAGCAAAAAGGTTAGCCACCCCTGTTCTAGCCCATTGTTTTTTTTTTCCAATCCCTCATATTTTTTTCTCCATCCCACTTCAATGAAGAGTTTAGAGCAACTCAAAAGCTGATGCTGTATTTTCTAATATTTTGAATGATCCTGATAGAAACACTGCTTAACTGTGAAGTTTACAAAAATGCAAGTATGCTTTTTTCACCTAAAAGAAATAATAGAAAGGCTGTTAAGCCACTACAGCTTTTCAGATTCAAGGATGGTGAGGTAAAAGATTAAAGCTAAGAAAAAAGCAGAGATAAATAAAATATATGTATATATCCATGTGTATTTGTATTTCCATGTGCATATATTTAAATACTCATAAGACAAAGAACAAAGCAAATTAAAATAATGAGAATAGCTTCTGACAGGGAACTGGGAATTCTGACGGGGAATAAGAGCCTTGGTGGCGCAGCAGATTAAAGTGCTATTAAGTAGCACCAGCTGCCTGCAATTACTGCAAGTTCAAATCTCACCAGGCTCAAGATTAACTCAGCCTTCCATCCTTTCGAGGTAGGTAAAATGAGGACCCGGTTTGTGGGGGCAATAAGCTGACTTTGTATAAAAAAGAACACCGCTTGGGGGGGACCGAAAGCCCTACTAAGCAGGTATATACAAAAAGTATGAAGGCTATTGCTTAAAGCATTGTAAGCCGCCCTGAGTCTCCGGAGAAGGGCGGCATATAAATCGAACCAATAAATAAATAAATAAACTGCTTCTAGAAATTCTTAACCGTCATGTAGATATTAGCTTGAATTCTATTTTCTTTCTCTTTTTTGCCAGGTTGAGGTAACCTCCCATAACACCAATCTTGAGTATTTAAACAAAGCCGTGTCTTCCTATTTAGAACATCAAAAGACAAGTGCAATTAAGCACCAGTTCCCTCAAATGCACAGTACTGATGGAATTCTTCAAGAGTCATGCAAGAGGAGGAAAGTACAGATCAATACAGAATCTGAGTGCATAAAATCTAAACCCCTTGACTCTAGCAGAACAGTAATTGAAACAGAAAAGCTGACAATTCCCTTTGGACAGAGCCTTTTTCAGGTTTTACCACAGTCCCAGGAAACTTATCCAACTGGAGTAGCTGAATGTGACAATAAAGACCTTGTCAGTGAAAGTGATAGACATTTTGGAAAATTACATCCTGCTGGGAAGACATCTGGGATGACAACTGATTCTGGAACCCTCGTGGAGGATCTAGAATGCATGACCACCTTCCCACAAACTCTCATTTCTACTAATGATTTGTTAGATTGTGCACTGAACCCACAAGTCGTGCGTTTAATAGCTCGTCTTTTATTGGAGAAAGTGAATGTTTCGAATATATTGAAATAATTTTTTTTAAAAAGCAATGACAAAATGTACTCTGGAAGGTCCTGAACTTAGGACAACTAGCAAATAAGAATTGAAAGGCATTTTAAAAAGTACAAATGTAGACTTCCAAATAATATAATGGTTAAGCCTGTGAAAGGTAATATGAGGCAGATAATACAGTAGGGCCATAATAGTATTGTACACAGTAGCAGTAATCATAATAAATACTTCATGTAAAGGTTTATAGGCTTTCATAATACTGTATCATTTTAGGAACTTTTGAATAGATCTGTCAGGTTAATGGCATTATTATTCCGACATGTTAGACATGGCTCCTGAATCAGAGAGAGATTAGTTCATCTAATCCAAAGGTGATATTGAAAAAGTATTTCCAATCAGAAGTTCATGTTCTTACAGAATTAACTCAAAAGAAGTGGGGGACAATTACGTCTACTTTTCAGGGAGTAAGTATTTTTCCCCTAGCCATCTAATTCCTACATGGCAAATGAACTCTAGTCTCCCCAGATCTGTGCTATCATTTATTATTATTATTATTATTATTATTATTATTATTATTATTATTATTATTATTATTATTATTATTATTTATTGAATTTGTATACCGCCCTACTCCCGAAGGACTCAGGGCGGTGAACAGCCAAATAAAATTCATATGGTTTAATGGTTAAAAAACTATTAAAATACAATTAAATAATTGGCCCGGAAACGAAATTTAAAACACCCCAAATTCATAAGACAAATTTAAAATTTAAAAATTTTAAAAGTTATTAAAAACGTTTAAAAGAGAGGTTAGGCCAGGCCGGCCTGCTGAAAAAGAAATGTTTTGATGGCACGGCAGAAAGCGCGCAGGTCCAGGATCCTCCGTATCTCCGGTGGGAGCTCGTTCCAGATGGCGGGTGCCCCCACAGAGAAGGCTCTCCCCCTGGGGGCCGCCAGTCGACATTGTTTGGCCGACAGCACCCTGAGGAGCCCCTCTCTATGGGAGCGTACTGGTCGGTGAGAGGCTACTGGTGGCAGAAGGCGGTCTCGTAGATACCCCGGTCCTAAGCCATGGAGCGCTCTAAAGGTGGTAACCAAAACCATGAAGCGCACCCGGAAGACCACCGGGAGCCAGTGCAGCTCGTGCAGGAGGGGGGGTCACATGTGAGCGCCCCGTCGCTCCCATAACCACCTGCGCGGCCGCATTCTGGACCAGCTGGAGCCTCCGTGTGCTCCTCAAGGGGAGCCCCATGTAGAGAGCATTGCAGTAGTCCAGGCGGAAAGTAACGAGGGCATGAGTGACCGTATTTAACGAGTCCTGATCCAGAAAGGCGAACCTGATAAAACGCCTTTAATCTTTGCCATATACAGTATATCATCTATTATTTTCCATCTAGTCCATGAAGAAGGAATGAACCTGGATGGGCAAACATTAGTTACAAAGTAGCAAATGCAAGGATGTGTTGTTAGAGCAAGGTTCTTGATTACTGTGTTATGGTTTTCCATATGACTTCCCCATGGGGGATGACTGTATAGGGATTAAATTCCCTATACAAAGCTGTCCTTTCTTAAAGATCGATACCCCAACCTTTTTCAATTCAGTGCCATCCAGATATGTTGTACTAGAAAATCCAGCATCCCCTTTTGTAAGACAGGCTGCAGTAATATGCTGTGTGCTACATCTTCTGTACCCATAAAAATAACTTCATCATACCATTGTGTAATTTACTGATTATTTTCTTTCTGCTGAAACGCTTGTTGTTGGACTACAGCTTCACACAAGCTGTAGAAAGCATAACAGATTTCTATCTTGCCTTTTAAAACAACAGCTGATAATAATCATAAAATAATATAATAATAAAACAATAGTAATTTAAGACATGAAATAAAGGACCAATAAAATGCAAAGCAAAAAAACGAAAGTAAAACATCAACCTAATCCCTAAAATCTACCCCTAAACTCAGCAACGCTTTAATAGGAGGCACATACGCACAAAATGTATTATCTTGTCTAATATTTTGCTTCACTACTAGAATCTGCTTGGCTGGTATCTTTGCAAAACAACTTCCAATTAGTAAATGCACAAAGCACCTAAGATACAAACACAAGCTTAGGTTTCCCATCTATATACTCCAAGACTTCCCCTTTGGGTTACTGTCTTGAGCTTTGAAAATCTGAAAATTCTTTCCAAATCTGTGGATTAAACCCATTGATTTGTGACTACCATACATTGCTGGAGAAGGGAAGTGAAAATCAATAGGCAGAAGAGATCAAGACGTATTTTCATTGCCTGTTGCCTACAGCAAAGATTTGTTCCCAAACCACATTGATTGTCCTCAAATATGAATATTGATGCCCACTGAGTTGTTACAAGCTGGATGTAGTCCTTTCTTTGCAGTGCTTAAGGCTTCGGCACTGATCCTGTTAATTGTTCAGAAAAGTCATTCAGAGCAGCCGCTTATATTATCCAATATATAATTAGACTTCCAAATCAATTTATCATGGTTTTAATTTATTGGAATACCTGGAAACATATCCCAAGAAAGAATCCCATTCATGTAGTCAAAAAAGATTTTAGCTCCACTTCGTTCCACTTTTAAAGAAATGATGCTTTGCTTGGTGCTAAATTTGAACTAAGTTCCCAACTTAAAATAAACTCTGACAATCTTAACAAGCCAGATTTCACCAATGGATCGTGAAATTGTCTTCTAAGGCTAACCCAGCATTTTTTTTTTTCAAACCATGGACTATTAATGGCCTCAGAAATTTGCTGCAAAAGCTAAATGCCTACTGTGCTCTTAATTTTTTAAACATCAATAAAACCAAATCTAAAATGTCAAATATATGAAATAAATGGTGAGCCTATTGAACAAGTGAGTTCTTTTGCCTATGAAGGAGTGTTTTTTACCAGCACTGGGTCATGGTTAAATTGTTTGAAAAGAAAGCCAGCAAGGGCCTGAGGTAAATTCTAAATATTATACAAATGATTTAACTACAGTTACCCAGCTACCTTATACCACTATAATGAAAGTATTTGGGATAAAATTAATCCCAATGCTGACCTACTGTATGGTTCAGAATTGTGAGGCCTTAATAAAGCTATCCCAACAAGTTCAGACCATTTTTTAAAGATGCATACTGGGGACTGACAAGACACATTTGCCACTGCGGTCAGAGCAGAAATAGGTATCCATTCCTTACCTAGTCATTTAATAATTCAATTTTGTATATACCGCCAGAGGATCTGTTCAATAGACCCCAACAGACCTCCCAAAATATGCTTAACAGATAAGTATGACCCAACTCTTGGGTCAGCTAACTTTCTAAAGTAATTTCACAACATGGATTTTCTACCCAGCATCTACTATCAAGGGCCTCCCAGGCATGGGAAATGTTTAAACGAAGTGTCCTAAATATTAGTGCTCAAACTGACATAGAATTATTGGCTAAGTTGGTTGGTTGGCTAAGAATAAAACTATTTTTTCGGCTTGAAAAATACCTGTCATTGAGTCTGACGCATATTTTAAGAAAGGCCTATTCTAGAGCAAGATTTGAATTGTCCATGGTCAAATATGCTTTCACCACTTGCCATATTAGGAGAGAACCTGCATATGTGGTACCCCAGCCATTGAAAATACTTCTCATATTTTGTTTTAACAGTCAATTATATGCCCCCACTAGGCTTCAATGCTTATCATCCCTATTGGAAAGAATAGCCCACTGGCATTTTGAACCACAGATTTCCCTATTTTCTCCTGGCTCAAATGCACATATTGGACATAGAACTGCTAAGTTTATCACTAAGAATCTGATGCATTGAACAAATTGGGATACCCTGTGAGGGAGATTCATTTAGCTGATGATTAACTCTTTGTATTGCCACATACAGTATGTAATTGATCACTAGTTCCTCCTATCTATTTTATTTCAGAATTAAACTATGCACTGTATCTTTTTTTATTTTATTGATAAGTTCACAACACTAATTGTTCAATAAACTACTACTACTTTCATTAGTACCCAGTACACACAAATATTTTATAGACTTATTGATTGAGTGTTCCAATACATCTTTTACATATATATTTTCTTAAGAGAAAAATATATTATGGATTTTTCCCCACAGATCTCAACAGTATCTATTGCTGCTACTTCTGCCTCACTTCTTCTTTTTTTTCTTTATTAATTATTGAATACTCAAAGTTGCTGTAGTTTAACTTTTGTTCCCGCTATATTGCCATATGGCATTCAGCTTAATGTGTTTATTTGATTTATTTACAAGTTATCTGCCCATACCCAAAACCCTGTGGCCTTCCAGATGTTCTGTACTATTATTCTCACCAACTCCAGGCTGCACAGCCAATGGTGAAGTCTCCTGGCAGCAGTTGTTTACAACATCTGGAAGGCCACAAGTACTTCAGCCTTACCTAATATTACTTGATTTTTTGGCATTCTTTTACAATAAATTAGTTTCATACTTGCACAACCACCACCACAATTATGGTGATTTAAGCAATATTAATCCTAATATGCCTCGCCTTCCATTTTAAAAAAATGCTTCTTCCTAATACTCAAAATAAGTCATTATGCTCCTATTGTTCAACCTGGAATCATTTCTGATGAAGAATTTGACAATACCCTTCCACAAAACATCCTTTTGACCTTTTTAGAGAAACCGTCCCAGTTATCATAGGCTAAATTAAGTTTAATTCTGTTAAAATTGTTATTTAATCATTTGTCCAGCATCTACACGTCATCCAACAAATGCAGGATTGATCCAAAAAGGTCACTGCCTAATGCAAAGAGCACCTGAACTTGCATCTGAATTCATCCATTTGAATCCTAAGCACTGAAGCAGCAGAGACACGAATCTGGTCTATTTGTGACCACTTTCCATGTTTTTAAAGGGGGCTGTCTTATGACATCTTAATTCTTCTCCTGGATAAATGGATTCATCTCCTTCAAACCTTTTCTCCTGGGAGCTGAAACACGTTCACATGAACTCTCAGAAAATTGTTTGCTTTTTGCTTCGAGTAGTTTGACGAATTCTCTCAGCGTGCTATTTAGCTTCCAAATGGCTATCTGGATGTATATGGATTTTGTATAGACTGAAATGAAATGAATTCTAAAAGGTTGTCCTTTAATAGTAAACTATCTTCCATTTTGATAATGACATGGCTTTGTATCTCTTTGTGGATTGGTATGAATTTTCAACCAGAAAAAAAGATAAACTGAAATATTTCAAATGCATGCAATGTAATGGCTATTAGCAGTGGCAAAAGGAAAAGTTTAAGCTGATTGCTTATTTAGAAGAGTAAGTGAAAAGAGAGAGAGAGATATCTCCACAAGAACAGTGTTGTTTATATATTTTATATCTAAATACATAAGAATTCTTGGCATAGCATAAGAATGATGAGTTCCAATGTTGTCAGGTGAAATGTCTAACTTGCTTGTATATCTGTCCCACACTACCCTGCAACGGTTAACCCAACCACACAACCCATTATCCCCATAGCCCCACCTTACCTCAAAGTTCCTCCCTCTGAGTACAAAAGGCCGCTCCCACGTGGTCATCCAGCAGTTCCAGTTCCACATCTGTAAGGGAAGGACATAGGTCAGATACAGATGGAAAAGTAAGCTAATTTAATATTTGAATATTTAATAAATAAGTTATTAGAAACACTGCATTGTGTCTGGAGTTATTTGGGCAAGATCCATCAACCTAACAAATGTCTATGGAGATTCTCCGTCATCTAGGTCATGGTTGTCTTAAAGGTGCTTTTTTCTTCAAGAGGCAACTGGACTTTCTGGTTTTCCTTCAACTGAAGAAGCTTCTTGGATGAGAAGCGAAACGTCTTCAAAGAAAAACCAGAAACTCCAGTTGCTGCTTGGAAAAAAAAAAAAGCACCTTTGGAACAATGTGTTCCAATCCAAGCATACGAAGTGGTAGCCATGTGCTCAACTCCTGCACATCTTTCCATTACTTCCCACCCAAGAACAGTAGACACACATCTACTACAATCATCCTCTTTTAATGACCCCATAATCCCTTGTGGGGTGGAGTCTGAGCCACTGAATGGAGCTGAGTGTTTACTTGCTGGATGCCCTTCCTATCACCAATGTGGAGTTAATTTCAGCAGATATAATCTCAGTGTGGCCAGAGAGAGAAATATCTGTCTCTACCGAGGATTGAACTCACAACCTCCTGATTGTGAGGCGAGACCTCCAACTCTAGGCCACTGTACCACTCAACACATGTCAACTACAATGCTGGATACATTTGTTTGTGTGTTGATTTATGTGTGTATACACAGCCCAATCACAAGCCACAAAATAACAGCACAATCATAGGACTCGACACAGGCAAAAACATTCAAAGCCATACCTCTCAGAATGGCCAGATTTTGTTCTGAAGGCAAAACATCAACATTTAAAAAACGTGCGTGTTTTCTTTTTGCTCAGAACAATCGAAACAGCTGTTTGCACATCCCCCCCGAGGATACTTGAATCCAGATGGATTTCCTTCTAACAAAAATTGTGCAATCATTTCCCCCTAATCCTCTACAGAGTGTTCTTTTGGTTCCTCTTACTCTTGACAACCCCTGTTTTACCTGACACTGAAAAATGCTTCTCTCCTCTACCAATAACACAATTTATTTTGCCTCTTAACAATAGGATTCGCTCCAATTAATGACAAAGCCTTTCGTGAGCC